AGGTGAGTGGATTGCCTGAGCCCACGGGTTCGAGACCTGCCTGGGCAACTTGGCGAGATCGGGTTCGAGACCCGCCTGGGCAACTTGGCGAGACCTCATCTCTACAATAAATCAAAAAATCAGCCGGGTGTGGTAGCATGTACCTGTAGCTCCAGCTACTTGGAAGGCTGAGGCGGAAGGATCGCCGGAACCCAGCAGGTCGAGGCTGCGGCGGCCACTGCACTCCAGTCTGGGCGACAGACTGAGACTCCAACTCAAAAAAAAAAAAGAGTAAGAAGACAGAGGGACAATGGCCTGGGATGACTGCCTGAGGCCAGAGGCAGGTAGGATGGGCGTGTGGAATTCACAGGGCTCCAAGGATAAAGGATTGAGAAGAGGCTCAGAAAGTATAGCTGGAAACTTCCACAGTGGGTCCACACTAGGGGATGAAGATATGTGGGGTGTGAGGTCTGACTTGGATGAGGATGGTCCTGGAAGTCAGTAAGATGGAGGGAGGTGAAGCCCACACCCCTAAGGATGACAAGCAGACACAGGGAGAGGAAAGTGAGCACTCAGATGCTGAAGTCTGCCACAACCAGGTGTCATTGACAGGGCAGAGTGCAGGTCTATCTGGATGAACTGTCCAGAAATGAGTGAGTGGGAAGCAGTGATTGGAAAAGGTGGACCCCAATCCAGGGCCTGAGGAGAAACGACAGGAAATGTTCCCACTAGTCTCAGAAAATCACCCTGTTTATGGATGCTCAAATTCCACGGGTAACTAGGAGCACCACGGGTACCATGCCAGGGCCAAGCTCATCCTTCCTGGAGGGGACGCTGCAGCAGCCCGTGTATATATACCTCTTCCTTCTTGACTGCTCCCAGAGGCCCAAGCTAAACTTTCAAAGTAAGTAAAAAATGTCCCTTCACCCAAATTAGTTGGCCAAATAACAGGCCTATAAATAAAATGCCTGCTTCCACTGGCAATATCTTCTCTGCCATAAAGTTGAATGAGAAACTTCTGTGGCCCTCCACAAACTTAGGGAGTACACCCACCTCACAGGGAGCAGAAGGGGCATTTTCTGAGACTGGGGAAAAAAACACCTGTCATCTTCAGCAAAAGATATGCTTTCCACCTTTTGTGAAAGCCTGGATGAAACACAAGATGCAAGCTTCCAAAACACTACCAAAAGTCCAGAGAAAATACCTCAAAAGAGGTGTAATTTCAATCTGTGGCAGAAGGGAGAAACAGTAGAAAGGAGACGAATAACTGTGTAATTCAGCTAATGGCAAACAACCTAAATTACCTAAAAGTTTGTTGGTTTAATTGATTTACTCCTTCCTCCCCCCCCCACACACACACCTTTTTTTTTTTTTCCTTTGAGTCAGAGTCTCACTCTCTGTTGCCCAGGCTGGAGAGCTGTGGCAAGCTCACAGCCACCGCAGCCTCCACCTCTTGGGCTAAGGCGATCCTTCCACCCCAGCCTTCCAAGCAGCTGGAACCACAGGCATGCACCACCACACCGGGCTAATTGTTTTGATTTATTGTAGACACGAGGTCTCGCCAAGTTGCCCAGGCTGATCTCGAACCCCTGGGCTCAGGCAGTCCTCTCGCCTCAGTCTCCCAAAGTGCTGGAGTTACAGGTATGAGCCACAGCACCCAGCTTGGTTTAATTTCATAACAGAAAAAAGTGCTGGTCTTTTAGTTTAGTAGCTATGCACAGTGTGCCTCACTACAAACTCCTTGCAAGTCTTGGTGCCCCTGTCATGGGTCTGGACTCAGAACCGCACGGGTTTACGGTACCGAAAACACTTTTCTAAGTGTTGACCCGATCTTCCAAATCTAAAGATCCGGTAATGGGAAGCCACAGGTCAGGCCCAGACCCTATAAAAGAAGCCATGTTAAGACATGAAGCAAGCCGGGCTCAGTGGCTCAGCCTGTAATCCCGCGCTTTGGGAGGCTGAGGTGAGTGGACTGCCTGAGCCTGTGGGTTCGAGA